TTTATGGGACATTATTTTCAGGTACAGGTAGTATGCCACCTCCAAGGACATAGCTTGGATGGTTATGGGAGTTGAAGACTCTTTTTGATTATTTTGTTTGTATTACATGTATATCAAGCCGAGGGCTTATTTTGTATAGAGTTAGTACTCTTCTTTTGTGTAACCAAGTGTTGACTTGGAAAGCTGTAAGCCCTTAGGGCATTTGCTTTTGTTGTTAACATGTAATACTGTTGTAAGATCTACTCTGATGAATCGAAATGGTTGGTTTCTTCTCTATCAATGCATGTCTAAAGTGATGGGTATTATATATTATTTTGAGGGCATTACAGGCAGAGAGAGAGAGACGTGTTTAAGCCCTAACTCATTTTAGTGTGTTTGAAATCCCTCTAGAGTTCCTCACCAAATTAATTTAAAAATCCCTCCAAAAGGATAATAAATAAAAAGTAAAATTATAATAATAAATAATAGAGAGAGAAAGAGAGAGAGAAGAGTGATAAGTGAGAGAGAGACGGAGAGAGAAAGAGATAGAGATAGAGAAAGAGAGAGAGAGAGAGAGACAGGGAGAGAAAGAGATAGAGACAGAGACAGAGACAGAGAGAAACAAAAGATTAGTAACACATAGACAAAGAGAGAGAGAGAGAGAGAGAAAGAGAGCGAAAAGAGATGATCGAGTGAAAAACATAGAAAAAGAGAGAGATAGAGAGAGAAGAAAGATGAGCGAGAGAGACAGAGAAAGAGATAGAGAGAAGAGAGATGAGTAAGAGAGATAGAGAAAGAAAAAAGATGAGAGAGATAGAGAGAAGAGAGATGAGAGATGAACGAGAGAGAGAAAAAGACGAGAGAGAGAGAGAGAGAGACAAAGAGAGAAAGAGATAGAGAGTGAGAGACAGAAAAAGAGACAGAGAGAGATAAGAGATTAACGAGCGAGACAGAGAGAGAGATAGAGATAAGAGATATGAGCGAGAGAGACAGAGAGATGAACGAGAGAGACAGAGAGAGATATAGAAAGAAAAGAGATGAACGAGAGAGAGAAGAGAGACGATAGAGCAAGAGAAGAGAGATGAGCAAGACAGATGGAGAGAAGAGAGATGAAAGAAACAGACAGAGAGAGAAAAGAGATGTGAGAAGAGATAGATAAGTAAGAGACACAGAGAGAGAGAGAGAGAAAGAGTGATGAGTGAAAGTAATTTTTTAGTTTCCTTTCAGCGACGAAAATATTTTTGTTGCCAAAACTATATATATCGCGACCAAACAAATTTTTAGTCGCTGAAATTAAGGTTTTGCCGACCAAACCTTTGGTCGCAAAAGATAAAAAATATTTTTTTATTTTTCTTTCAGCGACGAAAATATTTTAGTTGGCAAAACTATATATACCGCGACCAAAATAATTTTTAGTCGCTGAAATTAAGGTTTTGTCGACCAAACCTTTGGTCGCGAAAGATAAAAAATAATTTTTTATTTTTCTTTCAGTGACGAAAATATTTTAGTTGGCAAAACTATATATTCCGCGACCAAACAAATTTTTAGTCGCTGAAATTAAGGTTTTGCCGACCAAACCTTTGGTCGCGAAAGATAAAAAATAATTTTTTATTTTTCTTTCACCGATTAAAATATTTTAGTTGTCAAAACTATATATACCGCGACCAAAATAATTTTTAGTCGCTGAAATTAAGGTTTTGCCGACCAAACCTTTGGTCGCGAAAGATAAAAAATAATTTTTTATTTTTCTTTCAGCGACGAAAATATTTTAGTAGGCAAAACCATATATATCGCGACCAAAATAATTTTTAGTCGCTGAAATTAAGGTTTTGCCGACCAAACTTTTGGTCGCGAAAGATAAAAAATAATTTTTTTTTTATTTCAGCGACTAAATTATTTTAGTTGCCAAAACTATATATACAGCGACAAAAATATTTTTTTAGTCGCCAATTGTGGCAAATTTAGAGACTAAATTTTTTTTAGTCGCCAATTGTGAGATTTTTAGCGACTAAATTTTTTTTTAGTTGCAAAAAATTAATATACCCCGACTAAAAAAATTTAGTAGGTAAATATTGTACTTTTTCCGACTAACATAATTTTTGGTCGCCAATTCCACAACTTTTGGCAACCAAAATATTTTTAGTTGGCAAAAGTGGTCGCCAATTGTGTATTTTCTTGTAGTGAGAGAACATATTTAGCAAATTTCTAACTGTGGAAATGGATTTATTGATAATACAAATGAATGTGAAGCCAAGTCCCACATCGCCGGGTTACTAAAGTAACACATCTGTGCACACACATCATGCATATGCTTACATTAGATATGTACATACGAATCTTTTTTCCCATTCTCTTTATGATAAGAGACATCATACATCTCTCGAATCATATAATTTCATCTATAGGGAGTTCTATTATTTAAAAACTCAAATACTTGAACAACTCAGACCTTGCTAAATATGTATGTTACAACTCCAACGCTTTTTTCAATATAATAATTTACTTTCCATCCAAATTTTTAGATTTAGATTTACCATCAAAACTTAAATTCTATAAAAAGTCAAAATACTTGACAATGAAATACTTAAATTTTTTCAAGAATACATAAAAGTCAAAATACTCAAAAAATAAAAAATCAATATAATAATGCTTACCTAATAGCCTATTTTAGTCTTTTATTTTTGTAAACAAAGCAAATGGGTAAATCTCAACAAAGAGACATAATAGTTACTCCACATGTGTGTGTGTGCGTGCATGTATGTACCACTCAACAAAACCCTGTCCAAACTATTTGAGGTCAGCCACATGAATCTTGTTTTGCCATTCCATTCTGTTTGGGACTGTGTAGGAGAGGGTTCAAGAAAGGAGTTGGAAAATTCGAAGATCTTCGAAGATCCTTGAAGAACAATTTCGAATTCTCTAGAATATGATGAGAGGCTTAGATTCTTCAATAATCTCTTATCTCCATCATCTCCTTTGATAAGAGATTATTGAAGAATCTAAGCCTCTCATCATATTCTAGAGAATTCGAAATTGTTCTTCAAGGATCTTCGAAGATCTTCGAATTTTCCAACTCCTTTCTTGAACCCTCTCCTACAGACTGTAATTTGATTATTGTGTTTGTGCGTGTGTGTGTGTGTGTGTGTGTACACAGGCATATAAAAGAAACATGTGGATAAATTACAGAAATGAAAATTAACATGAAAATAAGAGATGTACGAACCTTGATGTAGTCATCCCATGCTGAATCATCAGCAACAACCATCTTTCTTGTCTCATCCCATGTAAATCCTTCCTGATCAAGGAGTTCTTTTAGAATACCATACTGTTTCTTCCAAGTTTTAAGCCTATTTCTAATGTGATCTTTAGTCAGGTCAAGGTGAAATTTTTTGTTTATAGCTGTAACAGCATCTGTACATACCCTGGACTTTAAATTACTATCTAATTTATTTCCCTCTTTATATTGCTTTACAAGAATATTGCCCGAGCAGCAGTCCATTTCTTTTGTCCATATCAAGTGTCTAGTCTGCTCTTTTGTACAGCTACTCTGAATCTGAAAAGTATCAGTAGCCTCTACATCCTCGTAGCCCGGGGTCGAGCCCAACAAGGCATCACTATTTCTGGGACTAAATTCAAATGCAGAGTCATTGCCAAAAATAATCTGTAAATTGTCGAGATTTTCAACAATCCTTCCTCGATATAGCCTTGCATTCGGATGTGTCTGCATGCAACACAGATAAATTTATCAGTCGCCCTTCTTTTTCCATTTCAGTGTTTTTATTCTTTCCATTTTCCATATTTTTGTTCTTCAGCCACATGATGAAATAATGCCAATTTCATGTCTTCGAAATGAAAGGTTCTTTGATATTCATAGCATTTAAATGAGTTTAAATACCCTCATCAAAATTCAGTTAGGAAGTAAGCTTCTATACAAATATTGGTTCCGATTTCAAATATTTTCCAGCATTTTTTTTTTGTGATAAACAAACAATGCTTTATTAAAATGTCATCAAGGCGATGCAAAGAATACAAAAAGTATCAACCCACAAAAACCTGACTAATCAAATCATCCACAAAATCTACAAAGGCCACCATTTATATTTTACACGAGCCATACAAAAATTAACAATCACAAAATGAACACATCGATTCCTTCTAAGTAAAGAATAATCAAGAGCCTTTAGCAATATTTTCACATACAGATTTGCCTATGAATTGGCCCTAACTGTTTTGTGAAATCAACACAAAATACAACCGGGCCAAGTGAATTGGAACAACCATACTACTAATATGCCCCAAACCTAACTCAGTTTGACAATTTCAATTCCATCTCGAACCATGATCCCTTGTACAAAAGAAAAAAGTAACATGCATGTGGATGACAAACCAAACGAATTTTCAATTTAAACGTCCACCCACTTCTACAGCATCTAAATGTCCCATAACATGCACGTGGAAGGAAAAAATAAATATTTTGCATACCTTGATATAATCACTCCACACTGAATCAGAGCCGACTACCACCTTTTGTGCTGCATTCCATTTGAACCCAGTATGAAAAAGGAGTTCCTTCAAAACCCCGTACTGTTTCCTCCAAGTCTTAAGCTGATTCCTAATATGGTCTTTACTTAGATCAGGCCTGAACTTATCTTTTAAAGCCATAAGAGCTATTCCGTATGCTTCACGTTGTAAATTGTCTATTTTATAGCCCTTCTGCATTTGTTCCACCAGAATCTTACCGAGGCAACAGTCCATTTCTTCAGTCCACCTCAGATTTTTTGCCTGCTTGTCATCACTCCTGATTTCAGGTACAATTGTAGACTCCACACCCTCGTTGTCGGACATGAAGTCTACATCAATTTCAGCACCATTGTCTGAACAGCTTGCTATTGCTTGATCATTGCCAACAATGATACACAACTCATCATAATTTTCAAAGAATTTTGCATGAAAATGCTTAGCATCAGGGTTGATCTGTCAGTGACATCATTTTTATAAACCAATAAATATAGTCATCATTTGTATTTCACCACCACAGCTTGAAATTATGCAATCATAATGGAAAATCAGAGAATATTTAAATAAGATTTAATGGAAATATTGTGAAAGTAGTGACCTGCCAATGGTCACATATTGTGATCAAGAATTTCATTAATAATTTTGGGCAAATAATCAACAGTAATCATTAGTAGAGAAAGTTACACATTGGACAAATAGAAACCCACCTCAGAATCTGATATTGTCTTCTAAATTATTCAAGAATTTCAATTTTCAAAAATAATTTAGATATAGCATTTATCAAGAACATGCAAATTTAGTATTATAACCACTAAGATCAAATTAAGAGAGTAAAATAATTCAAAATTTGAAGAACTTTGTTAAATGCAAGTAAATTACCTTTATATAGTCACTCCACACAGCATCATCTGCAACTACCATCTTTCGAGCCCTATTCCATTTAAAACCTTTTTGAGCAAGGATCTCCTTCAAAAGCCCATACTGCTTCCTCCATGTCTTCAGACGATTTTTTATATGGTCTTTAGTCAAGTCTAGCCCAAAATTTTCAGTTAAAACTGCAACTGCTGCAGCATATGTTGCGGATTTTATAATGCTATCTGATTTGTTTCCCTTTCTTGCATGTTCTACAAGGACCTTGGAGAGGCAACTGTCCATTCCATTTGTCCATATCTGTATTTAACCTTCTCTTGAGCATTGGAACTTTGAGTTTTGTATACCTTTCCATACATTCCTGACAATACATAGATGAAGTAACAATACTGTCTTGTTATTTTACATGCAAAGAATAACATGTAATATCTAATTCATGGGTGCCTTCTTCCCCTACACTTCCTCTTCCATCTCCTAATACCTACGTATAATATCATTACCTGTGTTGCATAGTTAGACTCTCTCAATCTCTCCTACTATTGCTTTACAATCCTTACAATCCTTACATTCCTTTATCTAATTTATCTAACTCTCCTATTAAGAAACCTTCCAAATCATCATGAAGGCTATAATTTTATATCTTCTCATTTCATCAACTTCAAAAATATTTATCTTTAATCTACCAAAACAAACGTTTATTTTTACTTTTAATTGAAACAATTTCAAGTGAAAAATGCTTGTTATTACCTCGGAGTTAGTTTCTCAAGAATGAGAAAATTATACAAAATAAACAATATATCAATTATCAAGCGGTCAGTGATTCGGCTGTCTTATCAACCAGAACTGGACTGTGACATCATAATAAATTATCGGAACTCAAACAAAAAATCAATAATAACAATGAAAAAAGTATAATCAAATAAAATATACTCGATAGGTTTTTTCTTTCTCTTTTGGTTTCTTCAATGTACCTTTATTGATGTTCTTCAAAAGACTAGATTATACTCTAAATCATTCAAACACATTGTTGCCAAACCATACATTCAAATATATATATATATATTTTATCGAATTCATGTAAACACTCAATATAAAGGGATCAATCGAATTGTCCTCAACTGAATTTTTTCTATAATCATAAATTTTATTCAAAAATCTACAAGATATTCAAATGTATATAAATTCACATTACTTGCTAGTTATACACACATATATATATATATAGAGAGAGAGAGAGAGAGAGAGAGAGAGAGACATATGAGCATGTATATATATAGATAGAATCGTAGAAACCTGGGGATGAGAGAGAAAGCAGTCGGGAAAAATTAGCTCCGAATCACAACTCCCGCATTCGAAGTTGTGATCAAAATCAATGGAACTCTGTACTTGAAACCCTATGCCACTACGTTTCTCTGTGTTTCTATGCAAGTTCAACGAGCAAATAACAAGCATTCCGGTTCATTCCGGTTCATGTCTGTATCTGACGGACCACCGGTTCTCACGGGTTCAGTTCACATATTTCGCACATTTTAGAAGCGTTTTTGCGTTGAGCCGGGTTTTGTCTTGTCAATCATTTATTGTTTTTTTCATTTTTCTATGATGGGAAATTGTTAATAAATGAAATGACCCCGAAAATTGTACTGGTCAATGTGAATTAGTGTTAACAGTAATTGCGAGGAGAAAAATGATCCGGATCCTCCCTAGGGGGTGACTTCCACGACCCCTTTGACCTGTGATTAGTCAAAATTTTTTTTTTCTTCCTTCTCCTCCTCCAATCACCAATCCCTACATGTGTGTGGGGGTGGTGGGGGATGGTGATTGAAGGGGTCTCAATCACTTCTATTGCGAAGGATATGAAAATTTATGAAATATTTTTATAAGGTATTGAATTTGTTTTATAGAATAATAAATAAATAAAAATATGATTAAAAAAGTCCATTATATTTCTTTTAATTTATTTATGCCTTTTGTTTTATTTTTGTATGGGAGAGAAATATTCGCCTCGCTCCGTACCTCCTTACTATCAAGCTCGTCTTATTCCGTTAGAACTCCATCGCACTATGAACAAAACAAAGGTGAGCTACCCGACAAGTGGGTTTTCCTCCAATCACCAACCCCTACATGTGTGTGGGGGTGGTGGGGGATGGTGATTGAAGGGGTCTCAATCACTTCTATTGCGAAGGATATGAAAATTTATGAAATATTTTTATAAGGTATTGAATTTGTTTTATAGAATAATAAATAAATAAAAATATGATTAAAAAAGTCCATTATATTTCTTTTAATTTATTTATGCCTTTTGTTTTATTTTTGTATGGGAGAGAAATATTCGCCTCGCTCCGTACCTCCTTACTACCAAGCTCGTCTTATTCCGTTAGAACTCCATCGCACTATGAACAAAACAAAGGTGAGCTACCCAACAAGTGGGTTTGCCAGAAAACCCCTCCGACAGTCAAGTTAGCTTTCTAGGAGAAGAGAGAAGGTATAGCACTTCTGGAGAGAGAGAGAGAGAGAGAGAGAGTTAGAAATTGCTTCATGTTGCTTACCTCTAACGTCTGCATGCTCCTCATTTTCAAGGCTGGTTATGTAGCCTCAGAAATTGTAGACGCACTAGCTCTGTTGTCCTACTCTAGACAGGCAGCTGTGTTCCCCTTTATGAGCCAACTCGGCATGGCGCAACATTCAATGTGGGTCCAGCTCGACTCAACACATCCCAGGCAACCTTGACCCAGCTTAGCGCTATGCTCGATGTTGACTCAGTTCGACCCAATGGTGCGCCTCAGGCTCTCCTTATACGGCCCAACACCACATTCCGTATTGGTATAGCTTGGCCCATTGCTTGACACAAATCTCCTTTTCAATTGCCCCTTAATCCCATATGAGCTGAACGTGGATGGGATTACCCTTCTAACCGAGCTATTTATTTCGGCTGGTCGAAAAGACTCATGCCAATGGTCTTGTCATCAATCAGTCTGTCGTACTAACAACCCGTCTTTTCGATACCACGTGGCCCCTTCTGATTGGTTCCGTGCGACCTTATAACTATCCCTACTATCTCTGAAATTTGAAAAGTTGGCGCCTCTTCATCATCACCTATATATACGTAAGGTCAGATCTCAAACCCTATCACTGTTCATCTCATCTGCATAAAACCCTAAACCCTTGAGTTTCTGTCATCCTCCCCGCCTTCATCGTCGCCGCTTTCGCTTGCACCGCTTCCAGTGTTTTCCATCTTAACGGACATCACAGCAGAAGTCGAGGTCTTGCTTTTAACTCTTTTCCATTGTTTTTCTTCGTATTCTTTGGGTTTTTTTCATTTTTCTTTATTCGAGACTATTGAAACACTGCCGATGCCCCTCTCGTGGGGTAAAATTGATAGGCAACTGTAGAAATTAGGCGAAACTGGAATAAAAAACACATATGGGGCCATCGTGGCCCTCATTCTCCTTAGTTTCAATGTATGAACTTCACATTTAGGATGAACAACATGAATTTTGGATAAAACCGAGCAAATTCTACTTTTAGATCCAAAAACATGATTGAGCCATGCTAAAACTAGTTTGTGGTTCTGTCAAGGGGCGGAGACCGCGCAAGGAGCTTGTAGGGACATTGAACCGAGCTAGGAAACTAGACGTTTGAAACAAAGACCCAAAACCAGTCTGAGACCTCTTGTCCTAAATCAAGCTATCACGCTTCACTCTGATAGCCGATCTAAAACGTTCTTTAACCTTAGAGCTGTGCAAAGTATGTTGCACTAATACTTGGTTTTAATAATGCAGAAACTAGGACCGACCAGGCACACCTTAACATCACCATCGGTGAAGCTCAAAGGCCGAGCGAATAATCACCTGAGCCGTTCAATTTTGACCGAGCTACTATCAATTTTATCATCCAAAATGAAACCGAGGTAAATGGGGAAATACCGATTTATGGTTAGTTCGCCTGCGGCAATGGCCGAGTTCCGTAGAGAATACAACATTCCAGATGACGTCCACCTGGAGCTGGCCAAGAAAGGAGACACTCCATTGGGCAAATTGGACGCTTGCCCCTTCACGATCGTGTCCATTGTGGAAGGCGGCCTACGCTTTCTGGTCTAATCCTTGATCTGCGAATTTTTTAGGCAGACTACGTTGTGTCCAACCCAGGTGTCCAACAATACCTATAAGATAATAAATGGTGTGGCCGCTTTGAACTAGATCCTCGATTTGAACCTCGGCCTCGCCGAGATATTCCACCAGTATACACTTAGCAAAAATAAAGGCGGCTTTTGTTTGTACCTCAAAATTAGGAAGGGTCAAGCAAAACTTATTGAGGGTAACCTAGACAAAGAAATAAACGATGACAACTCCCTATAGGTGTTCGGCAATTATGAGGGCACCGAGGTATACGCAAAAATTTCAGAAGCGCTGGTGAGCAGCTTAGCACGGTTTGAATTTGTGTATTCGATCATTTTGCCGATCTAACACTTCGCATTTTCTGTAGATTACACAATCTTGGCAGAGAATTATTCATGAGCCAACCAAGAGGCCATCTGAGTTGCTCTGCGACATCCAGCAGAGGAACGAGAACCCTAAAAGCTGCTCGAATACGAATCGAGTTATCATCATACAGCACCGCGCAAGAGCAAGGTCACTGTTTTTCTTCGTGCCCCTTTTTCGGAGCTGGATCCAAACCTTCCATCGATTAGACTTGTACCTCTGACAGCCGAGCCAAAAATGGCAAAAATTCGAGCTATCAAGTCAATGATCACCGGCAAGCCAAGCGATACTCCACCAGCTGAAACTGTAGGAGGCAAGTCTTCTCAGCAGGCAACATTTGAATCTGGCCCGGTGCTAGATCTGGCCAGCGAACAAAATACTGGCCGGTCAAAGAAGAGGCAGAGGCGGACACCAACCGAGCAAACATTGGTCGATGAAGATTCCACCAAGCTTGCTTCCGTTGAAAGGGAACAGATTGAACAAATCTTGGTCGAGCAACCTGGTCTCTTTACTATCCCTCCAGTCTAGTCGCCCGAGCTGAAGTACAAAGGCCAAGCAATGACCACAACTGATTCGGTCTATGCCGACAAGGGTTACTCTCTTGGTTTTGACATGACCAAGGGTCTACTCTTGCTGACAGATATGAAGAAACATGAAGAGTTATTCGACCTTAAGGTGCTTAGGTCGGCGGCCAAATCCATTGTTCTAGTAAGGAAGTGAGTCTCGTTGGTTTATGTCATTGCTCGATTTCAGTGTACTGACTTCTTCTTCATTGTAGGCTGCGCAAAAAAACTATCTCACCTACAAGCATATGATCTCTGTGCCGTAGAGTTTACGGGAGGCCATAGCTGACAACAAGGCTAAAACGGCCAAGTTGGAAAAGTTGAAGGCCACTCACGCCGCAATATCGATCGAGCGGGACCAGTTGGCTGAGAAAATGGCCAAGGCAGATAAAAAAAAACAAGCGACCATGCAAGTGAAGAAGGCAAGGTATATCGCCGAGCTACGCAAGCACTACGCTGCTCATGCTGCCGAGCTGAAGAAAAAGATTGATGGCACGGAGGATCGTAGCTATGCAGAAGGGGAAAAAGTATATGAACGGCAAGTGGCAGGAACTAAAGACATCTTCTTTCAGTGTGGTTGGAAATCTGCTGCGAAGCAACTTGGCTATGGGCCCGATTTAGATTTTTTTAAGAATCCTCCACTTGTCTTCATTTCACCGTACATGTCAGCCTACGCCGTGACCATTCACCAAAAAATGATTGAGGCGGCGACTGCAGCTGTTGAGATCGAGGCAACGACCCTTCCTCTGACCAAAGAGATTCCTTTGCCAGTCATCGCGGAAGAAGAGTCCCCAGGCAGCAGCCAGACCGAGCCAGAACCTAACCCGGTCCTTGGTGCTGGAGAGGAGATTGCACCGAATGCGATTGAGGAAGATCCAGCCGATCTGGGGGATTCTATTGACGTAGTAAACTAGGATGCTTCTCTGGGTCCTCTGTATTTTTTCCTTTTTTGTTGTTTCGCTTTTGACGTAACCTAGCTATGAGCCCTACCTTTGTAACCAAACTGTTTCATCAATGAAATATCAGCTTCTTTTTGCTTGCCATGTGAATTTGTTTTCTCCAGTTTACTTTCTTCAATTTGTCTTCCTTGTTTGTATGATTCAAACTATGGCTTTTAGTGTTGTCTAGATAAAATTGCTTGGATTAACTTTTGAATTTGCATACATGTAAAATTCACTTTCAAAATCGGAGAAGTATAACTGTCTCCCTGGTGAGCAAATTCAACTTGGTTGGAGGGAAAAAACAATCCATGAGTTGGACAAATCGCAAACTCATTTCTTGGCGAGCAAAGTCAGCTCGAGGTTAACGAGCAAAGTCGGTTCGGTTTTATAACACAAGTTTGGTAGGATGCCAACTTTTTCCTCGGCGAGCAAAATCAGCTCGGAGGACACTAACCCTTTTTGGCGACAAAATCAGCTCGGTTCAAACACATAGGTTGGGCAGAAGACCAACTTTCTATTAATGTTAGCAAACTCCGCTCAATAGAGGCGAGAAAAATCAGCTCGGGAAAATATGAGCAAAATTAGCTCATAATAAGTGAACACGGTTGGGGATGGCACCAACTGCTTGCACGACAGGCAAAGTCAGCCTGGTTTAAGAGAAGTCAGCCTGGTCTTGTGCCCTAATTTTCTGCACGGTGGATCGTCACAGCTAGGGCCAAATTGCCCCCAACACTAAGTAGCTTAACACTTTAATACAAAAACACATAATACAAAAGAAAGAAATGGCTTTTTTCCATTACACATCAAACATTACATGTAGTGGCAAAAGGCCAAGTTTCAAATAACAAGGAAGAAATATTACATTTCAAAAGTAAAATAACTTGAGGTTGGCCGCATTCCATAGCCTTAGTATGGTTTTGCCGTCTAAGTCCTCCAGATGGTATGCCTCTTTGCCAGCCAGGCCTATTATCTTGTACGGTCCTTCCCAATTTGCACCCAATTTGCCCCCAATTTGCCCTCACCAGGGACCAGCGTGTTGCCCATCACCTTCCTCAAGACTCAATCCCCAACTTTGAATAGACGTGGATGCACGGTCTTGTTGTATTTCTTGAAGAGCTCTTGTTGGTAGACCGCAATGTGAATTAACGCCCTTTCCTTTCTTTCTTCTGCTAGGTCCAACTCCAGGCGATAACTTCACCGTTCAAGTCAGGCTCAAAATTTTCAGACTGGATAGTTGGCATGCCGATTTCTAAGGGTATGACTGCCTCCATGCCATAAGCCAAGGTGAATAGAGTTTCCCCAGTTGAACGTTTTAGGGTGGTTCGGTATGCCCAGAGTATGTTGGGGAGTTCCTCGGCCCACCTCTCTTTGGCTTTCTCCAGCCGCCTCTTCAGCCCATCTAAGATAGTCTTGTTTGAAGCTTCAGCTTGACCGTTTAATTGAGGGTATGCCAGTGTTAAATTGTAGAACTCAATCTTCAACTCTTCGCAAGATCCGCAGAAGAGTTTCCCATCAAACTGTGCACCGTTGTCCTAGATGAAAGCCTTTGGGATGCCAAACCAGGTAATTACATTCTGCCAGACGAACTTCTTTACATTCTTCTCCTTTATGGTGGCCAATGGCTCGGCCTCGACCCATTTGGTAAAGTAGTTAGTAGCAGCAATGAAAAATTTACGATTGCCCAGCGCGGTTGGAAGCGGTCCCACAATGTCTAACCCCTATAGTGTGAATGGCCAAGGACTGGTTAAGGGAAACAACTCTTTGGCCGACTGGTGGATCTGGTGAGTGAATTTTTGAAACTTCTCGCATTTACGGATGTATTTCTGTGCATCGGCCTGTATGTACGGCCATCGATAGCCTTGAAAAATTACTCGGTATGCCATCGATCTGCCCCCAATGTGGCTACCGCATGCTTTCATGAATTTCAAAGAGAAAAGCATCAACCTTACTGGAGTTGACGCATTTTAGGTATGGTTCAGTAAAGGATTTCTTGTATAAGGCGCCAGATAGAGAGAACCAAAACTGCTCAGACTTAGCCCTTATCTTGTTGGTTTCCTTTTTCTCGGTAGACAGGACTCGATCTTTTAGGAAGGTAATGATTGGATCCATCCAAGATGGTCCGAAGTCGATGTAGAGTACCTCGGGTGCCTCTGGTTCCTCAATGCTTAGTTGGGGCAAGAATTCTATCATCAAAGGATTGGGGAAAGCTGGTTTGCATAGATGCCAGGCCGGCCAATTCGTCGGCTTGACTATTTTCTTCGTAGTTGATTTGTTCCATTTTTATCGCGACAAACTTTTTGACCTTAACGCATACCAGCGCTTGATACTTGGCCATCATTTATCCTTGGCCTCATATTCCCCAGAGACCTAGTTGACCATCAGTTTGGAGTTGCTGAATACTATAAGCTCTGATGCCTTCATTCGTAGAGCGATCTTCAGGTCGGCAAGAAGGGCTTCGTATTTTGCCTCATTGTTGGACGCTGGGAATCCAAGCGTGATAGCATGCTCAATGGTCAGTCCTTCTGGCGAGGTCAATACGACCTTCAGCCCAGCGTCATGTCTGTTGGAGGCTTCATCGATGAAGAGTTTTCACATCTCACCAATGAACAATTTCCAACAGTCGAAAGGGTTTTGAGAGTTTCTCAAATCCAGGGCACTGGTCGGTTCCGTGTGTAGCTTTACTGCATGCGCACTCGTTTGATCAGTTGGTAAGTCAGCCGGCACTTGCTCTGCCAACTCAGAATTGTCTTGCTTGGCTATTGCTTGTCCTTCATCTTCCTGTGGCAACGTCAACATTATGGGCCATGCAAAATCTGCATTAACCCTTTCCCTTTGCTCGGTGTCATACGCCAAGTCTATTGGACAGACGGGGTGGGTGCCTGATGCAAATTCCACGACAAAATCGGCTAGGGCTTGTGCTTTGATAGTTGTGCGTGGCTGAAACTTGATGTCGTACTGCCCCAGCTCTATCGCCCATTTTAAAATTCTGTCGGTGAAATCTGCCTTCTCAAAGAGCACCTTAAGTGGGAATTCAGTTAGCACCACTATTGTGTGGGCATGGAAATAGTGTGCCAACTTTCTAAAGGCCATCATGAGGGCTAGGGCCAATTTTTCAAGCAGAAAATATCTTGATTCAACTAGGAGCAGTGTTTTGCTAACATAGAAGATGGGGAGATATTGAATTCCCTCAGTTCGGACAAGTATCGTGCTTACTGCATGTTGAGAAACGGCCAAGTATAGATAGAGCTCTTTGCCAGGTTGTGGGGTGACCAGGATTGGGGTGGAAAAGAGATAGGCCTTCAAGTCCTTTAAAGCGCGGTTGCATTTTGCATCCCAAAAAAACTTGGCCTTTAACCTTTTGAAGAAAGGGTTGCAGCGATCTGATGACCGGCTGATAAATCTATTCAGCGCGGTTGCCATTCCGGTGAGATGCTGCACGTCCTTTGTGGAATTTGGTCGCTCCAACTCTTGGATTGCCTTGATCAGTGAAGGGTTTGCTTCTATACCCCGGTTTGTCACTTAGAAGCCTAAAAACTTTCCTATACCCACACCGAAAGCGCACTTAGAAACGTTCAAGTGCAATTTATGGCGCTTAAGGATTACAAACATTTCTACTAGGTTAGGGAGGTGTTGGGACTCATCTTTGCTCTTCACCACCATGTCGTCAATATAGGCATCCATAGTGCGGCTGAGAAGAGAAGCAAGCATTTTGGTCACCATCCTTTGGAAAGTCGCACTAGCATTCTTAAGACCAAATGGCATAATCTTGTAACAATACAAGCCTCTCGGCGTGGTGAAGAATGTGATCTCTCTTTCCGGCTCGTACATGGCGATTTGGTAGTAACCGCGATATGCATCAAGGAAGCTGAATCTGCGGTGACCAGTGGTAAGATCCACCAGCTGGTCAATCCTTAGAAAGTTGTCCTTCGGTCAAGCACGATTAATCGTCTTGTAATCGACGCATACCTGCCATTTTGCATTTTTCTTCAGCACTACCACCATGTTAGAAATCCATCTGGGATACTGCACTTCTTCGATCGCCCCAGCCTCCAGTAAGTTTTTGACCTCCTCTGCCACTACCTCGGCATGGTGCAAGGCTGAGCACTGTGTTCTTTGTATGACTGGTCGGGCATTGGGAAAGACATTCAATTAATGATAAATGAAGCTTGGATTGACTCCAGGCATATTATAAGGCGTCCATGCAAAGACCTTAATATTGGAGACCAAAAAGTTAACGTAGTCCAACCGCTAGGTGCTGGACAACGATAAGCCCAAGAGAAAAAATTTATTCGGGCCGCTTTCGTCAATTCGAACCTCCACCAAGTCTTCAATTGAATTTTCTTCGATTTTTCTTCCCACATCTTCCAGAACCTCCTTGCCTTCTGGTCCTTCTATCATCTGTACGAAACCTTTCGCTGCCCGGCTGCTGTTGACCGCAATAAAGCATTGTTTTAACATGACTTGGTCTCTCCAGACTTCTTTTATTTGCCTGGCTAGGCCAGGGAAGCGCATGGCTTGGTGATAAGTGGAAGCCACCGCTTGCATGGCGTGTAACCAACCCCTCCCCAGTATCAAGTTGTATGTGGATGGGACTTTCAGTACCCAAAACTCAACCTGCTTCGTGACCGACCTAGCCTTGACTAGCAATATGATCTTCCCGATTGTCCATTTCGGTTGAGAGTTTAAGCCGACCAAAGGAGATGTTGCTGGGGCCAAGTCCTTGTCCTCCAACTTCATCTGTTTGAATGCGTCATAGTACATGATCTTGACCGAACTCCCCCGGTCAATCAGTATTCTCTTGATGTCATAGTCCTTGACGCGAAGTGTCACTACCAGAGTGTCATTGTGAGGGGTTTGAATTCTTTCCAAGTCTTTGCTCAAAAAGGTCATGATGTCCTGCACCTCGTTCTTCCTCTTCTTTACGGTAAGCTGAATAGAGATCACTTCCCTCATGTGCTCGGCCTTCTTAATCATCCCCCTGAGCTACAAACTCACACGGGCTCGATGATACCGTGAATGACATTGATGACTCCTTGGGGTGCCGCATCCAAGATGGCAAGGCCATTTGTAGACATCTTATTTTTGATCGACCTCAAGACTTAGATGTCATCGCTTGTGCACTCGATGATTATGATTGCATATGTTCGTTTTGAGTGCCTGAAATCCTCAGTGAAATGCCCTGTCTTTGAGCCTTTAAAGCTTGTCCATTTTGTACTTTGTTTCGGACCAAAACCTTGTTGTTTCAAGCCTGGCACTTGTGATCTGTTGGCCACCACCATAGGCTGTCAGCCATGGCTCATGGTTGTCGGCCATTGGCGTGGCCGGTCGGCCACCAGTGGTGGCCGAAGGCTACCAGTGTCTTCCAAAGTCTTTTCCTAGATATTTTGTTGACAGCGGTGCCAACTGTTGGCACATTTAGCTGCATCTCCCTACATGTATATGGTGGGATGTTTCTAAGCTAGAGGCATGTTTTTCTATATATATAGGGGTTCTTCCCCCATTTTTGAGGGTTAGAAAATTTGGAACCAAATTATCTCCCTCCCTCTAGATTTCTTTCTCTCTTGTAATTTTATACACATTTGCTCACAAATCCTACATTTTTGCCTATACACCCTTGATCAAAGTTGCTTCTCTTTGGACTAAGGTTTCTTGAGACTCTCTTTGTGCTTTAGAAGGTGGTTGTGGCTTGCTTTGTGGCCTAATTTGTGCCTTGGCTTCAGGAGGTATAACACTTCCCTTTTACACTTGTTTTGCATATTTGTTTTCCCATCTTTTCCAATTGTTTTTGGGCTGATTTTGAACTGTAAACAACTCTGTTTTTGTGGCCTAAAAGTATTGGTTTAAGGCCATTTTCAGTTAAGGGGTGGTTCACCTTTCTTACTTTTTTGTTTGTAAAGTTTTTGTGTATTTGTTCACCACTTTCAAATCAACTTTTTTGGGCCTTTTAACCACTGAATTTCAGAGGTTTTTTAGTGGTAAAAAACTCATTTTGAAGTCCAAATTTGGAGGGGTTAGCCTCCCCTCCTTGTGTCTTGTTTGCATGTCTAGTTAGCTTTATGTGTTAGCATGTTTTTCTAGCTTAACTTAGCTCAAGTCCAGCATGTTTTAGCCTTTGAAATAGCCTGCTTTAGCTCTGTTTTGGGCTGGTTAGTTCATTTGGGTCTTGTTTTGCATGGTTGTAGTGTAATAGTCTTCACAAGTTAGTGTTTTAGGGTCTTAGACATCTCTTGTTTGAGTTGATAGCATCTTTTGGCATTGTTTTTCACTCCATTTCAGCACTATAATCTATGCAACCTCCCTCTTTGCTTCACTCTTTCATTTGCTTTTGAGGGTTATTTCAAGCTTGGGATCCTTTAAGCTTGAGATTGAGGTTATGCTTAATGGTTTAATCCTCTTTAAGGGTTCACTACCAACGGCATGATCTCTCTCTTGCCTTACATTATCCCTTGGTTGACACTTCTTTAATCTTAAAGGACACTCACCAATGGACAAATTAATTAAAGAATGATTTGGTAACTAAAATGTGTAAACAAAATTGACAAGTAAAAGTAGTAAGATAAGCACTTCTTTGCGTTGCATTGCATGTGTTCAAATCTGATGTTAGTTTTGAACACAAGGAAAATAGAACATTTCATACTCAAAAGTGATGAAATGTGCCATTTTCCTAGGTCTCCATTGCCCTTGATCATGCATGATAGGGTGATGGTCATTTGAGTCTTGTTTGTGCATTTATCGAACTTGTACAAACTTGGTTCTTTGGCTATCATGCATTGAAATTGCCTGGTTGATGGTTTGAGAGCCAAGAGTATCACTCCTTTGAACTTGTTTGATGATAAGGAGGGTAACAGTACAAATAAACCTTCAAAAAGTACACTGCTTTGCTCTGTTCGCTCTCTGTAGCTAATCGGCCACCATTAGTAGCCGACCGGCTATCATTATTGGCCAACCGGCCCCACTTTCAGCCACCAATGAAAATTCAACAGAGTGTTTTTGAAGAAAAATAGAGTTGATCTGGAGAAGGAGAAAGTGTAAGTGCTTCTGTGCAACAGAGGCTTATAGCAGCAAAACAGTGGCCTTTCGGGTGAAAAATCGAGCATGCATGCATCCCTCGCTTCCCGAGGCCATTTGGTTAATTTGCTTAGTGTCATGACCCAAACCCGCCCCTATAGGTTTAGCATCTTAATCGGCCAGTAATCCTAGCATCTTAACCGGCCAGTAATCCTGTGATTACCGAAGGCCTCTGAGACAGATTAACAAAATATTAGGGGCTAGCGGAAGCAAATAACAATGTATAACGTCCATTGAGCTTTCAGACTTATATGAGAGAGAAAAATTTTAAACTTTTTATATACATATATACACATTATCTTTAATTCATCATATATATACAGATTTAGACAAAGAGGTTTAGCCCTATTTACAAAACACAAAAGACTTGTTCAACCAAACACGAAAACAAAACTTAAACTTTAAATCATATAGCAATAATCACTTGACATATTCGGAACCTCTACGGGAGGCACATAGGCTGGCTGACAAAAACAGATTCTAGGTAGATGCCTCTAAGCCTGGTCACGCGCCTGATCACCTACATACATAAATAATACAGTGAGCTAGAGCCCAGTGAATAATAACAGAGTAAATGTTTTAATGAATGAGTCTGTACAGATTCAAAAATCATAATTCAGTTTCGTATCAAATTCATAATTTGTCTAGATCATATACGGAAATCATAAGTCATGCTTAAGCATACGTGATACATCCGTTAGCATTAACAGAATAGAATAGAACGTATACACGTGAGGTTACGAATAACCAGTTCCATAAAGGAACCTCTAGATCCGGGTAACAGAATAGAAGCTGAGCCCCCATGACGGGGCCTCCGGTACGGGTAACAGAGTGCTGACAGATTAAGTTCCATAAAGGAACCTCCGATACCGAGTAACAGCCAACAGATATCACATGATGCTAAGGATGTCATGAGTACATATCAGAAATTGGACAGTCATTCATTGTACAGAACATAGCACTTTAGAAAACAGATCTCATTTTATCACACAGAAAATAAATACAGTTGAACATAACTTTACTAAGTTATTACTCACAGATAGCCGTAGAAGCAAATCAGATGGATTAGACATATCAGATAAATCAGGCAGACAATGGCGCGTGACCTACACAAACACATAATATATACACTTTGAAATACAATATTACTCCATTGATCAAACTTGACTTTCCTAGTCTTTTTCCGTCTAAACAGTCTGAAGTTCTACTATGCTTATTCTTTCTCATTCAAATAAACCGGGTTCTCATTTCACATATTCTTTCATTACTAAGTCCTCCTTTTCCAAATAGATTGATCTTTTACTTGACTTCTTAAACAATTACTACTAGATCAATGATTCATTCTTCAACTAACTAATCTATGTTGATTGGTAGTTTATTAATCTTTATTGAGTCATAAATCATGTCTAGAATTCCTTGGAAAGAGATGAGAATAAATGTGAACTAAATGCAATTTTCCAAAATATGCTAAAAATGGGTCTTCGCTCGAGCGCCACTTTGGTCGCTCGAGCGGACTGTAAAATTTGAAAAACTACTATAAGCTCGATTTTCACGCTTGAGCCAGACTTTCCTCGCTCGAGCAGACAACGTAAATTCTGAAATTTTAAAATTGCAATTGAAGTTCAAATTTGGTATTCAAAGCCTCAAAACATGCACTTTTGGTACACAAAAATGGAGAACCATTGGATAATTTAGTAAACACTTTCAATTAGAAATCATTCATTCAAAATCATGCTCCAATTGTCCAAATTTAGTTTTAACTCATCTTCTTTACATCAACCCACAATTCTAAAATATAAATTAGACTTCCCAACCTCTTGAAATTCCGTGATGTATATAATACAAATAGATCCAATTTTATTATTAATAACAAAATCAACTTAACTATGAATTACACAAATCAATTTCTTAGAAATTCAACTTAACTCAATTTCTAACCAAAAACTTAATTTATAATCATGGGTGTTCTAAAATGTATCTAAATTGAGTCGAATTCTTAAATTACATCACATGCATGGATTGAATAAAAATCTGATTATAAAATCGAAACTTTAGGATTAATTCCAAATTAATTTCCACAACTATGAGTCTATTTAATTTCTTACTTAAAACCTTATTTCTTACAAAATCCATGAGACTAATTTCATAACTTTCTTAATTCATGATGCATGGAAGATTATCTAAAACATGAAATTAAAGTTATAAAACTCTTAGAAAATATTTGCATGTGTGAAATTAGGGTCAACATTCAAATTAATTACATCCAAAATTCTTTTAATTCAATATTAAGTTCAAAATGTTCATGAATTCATAATTTCCCAAAACTTGCTCTCCTTATACCCAAACATGAAATTAATTCTCCAACTTTCTTAAAGATTCATTGATGCATGTAAAGATGAAGTCCAAATTCATGAGGGATAACACAAATTAAACTTACTTGATAAATTTTCCCAAGCCCATTTCCTTAATCTCAAGCTCAACTCAATTTATTTTAACCTCAATTTAATTCATAATCATACATGTTCCAAAATATGTTTAATTTGAGTCAAATTCTTAGATTACATTACATGCATGGGTTAATAATTAAAATCAAAACCCATATTTATTCTTTAATTCTTCCAAATTACATGCATGTAGAAATAAGGCCCAATTCATGCAAGATTACAAAAATTAAATGCAAAATAATTAATTTCTAAATTGATTTCCATAAATTGAACATAACTACATGAATTCATCATCTTGCTAACTTCTTCTATTTATATGAAATTGAATCTAAGTTTAACAAATTTAAGAAATTATAATTCATAGTCTTGGTCCTAACTTGATTTTACATGCAAACCCAAATCTTAACAATTTATAATTGATCTACAAAGCTTTATTTTAAT